GGGAAGACCCTCTATGAGATGGATTGATTCAGTGACTGGGGTAATCGGGATGGGTGTGTCAGAGGCGGTGCGGTTGGCGCAGGATAGAGCAGGGTTTAGGACTGTTGTGCATAGGGTCGCTATGAGTCGGAAACGACTCGACGGCACATAACAACAACAACAACATACAGGAATTCAAAAGGAAAATTCCATTTTCTTTCCAGGAGTAACTCTTAACTTGGTAGAATAACTTTGAAGACGTCTGCTGAGTAAAGAACAATATTATAAAGAACCTTGAGATTTCATTTATTAGAAAATGCTGAAGGGATATTAGCAAAAAGAACCCTAAGTTCTGTGTGCCTTCTTCTCTGCCTTCTAGTGAAATCGTTAAAACCTTTCTTTAGAGGATAAATTTCTGTAAAAAAATTAATACATGTAGACCAAATCAAAGCAAAATATTGAATGATCCTTTTCAAAGCTTGGTTAAGTAAGATTTGACCTCACTTACTTGTGCATGAATAGACTAGGTATAGGAGAGGAAATAAAGCATGTTCTCTTCTACTTCTTCCACTCTTTCTGTGAAGATTTCTTACATAATTTTATTTCGTCAGATTCTTTTTAGTTGGGTGAGCAGACAATTGAATTTGTCTTCCCTAAGTTCCTTTCTGGAGAATTAGATAGAATTCTTAATTATATACTTTCCAACATCAATTTGGTTACTAATGCTGTAAATAAGGAATGCAGTGTCTTAGATGGATAAGGCCATTAGTGAAATTGATATATCAGTCTATTAAGTTAAAAAAAAAAGCTTCTGTTATCATCATGTGCCAAACATTGCCTGGTTCTGCCCACCCTCACAATCACTGCCATGCTTGAGCCCATGATTGCAGCCATTTTGTCAATCAAATGCATTTAGAATCTTCTTTTTCACTGATCTCTGGTGGTACCAATGGAGCTCTGGTGGAGTAGCACATAAACTCCTGTTCTACTAACAGATCAGCTGTTCAGATTCACCCAACACTCCTCAGAGTAAAGATGAACATTCTTCTTCTGTTTAGATTTATAGTCTCAGAAGCCCAAAGAAGGCTCACAGTGGATTGGAACAACTCCAAGGCAGTGGGATTTTTCTTCTTTACCAAGCATGATATCCTTATGTCTAAAGAGGAGAAAATGGAACATAGATGCACAGGGCCATGAACGTATCTCTGAAAGGGCCAGAGGGAGTGAGAATAGCACTGCCCCAGAGCAGAAAGCCGACAAAAAGCCCAAAGCACAGCCCCATGTTGCCTTTAGAGCCACACCAACAGCAAGAGAGTCATTAATTTGCTGTTGACTCACGTACTTATAGTTGGAGTACTAAGAATGGGGTTTGTTAGGGAAGTAAGTTGGAGTGGAGGAGGAAAAGAATATCACCCGATACAAGTCTAGGCTTTAGCTCAAGTTCCAAGGCACAATTCCCCAATTAGTCCAGGCTTTTTTTTTTTTCTTTTTTCATTTCAGCAGTCAAATCCAAATCATTCAGCAGGGGTTGCCTTACAGCCGTTCTAAGTCAGCTTCTCCTTGAAGGATCCAGCAAGAACTGCAAAAACCTTTAACTGAGGCCAGCACAAATACAAGAAGCCTCAGTTCACACCATCCCACAATTTCTCCACAGCAGTGCCATTGTCTCTCCACCACGATCACCAGGGTCTTGCTCTCACCACAGTCTTGCTCCAGTCTTCTTCAAGGCTTACTACCACAAGTCTGTCTTGCCTCAAATCTTGTCAATGTGGGAAGCACTCTTTCTCTTCTCCTATTTCCACAGCTGTTGATGATTTGCAAGACTAGGTTTCTGCTGTTAAGGTAGCTGGATACCAGAGGGAGCTAATAGTAAGTAATGGCTAAAAAAAAGCCAACTTCAGGCTAACACCACACCTTCAGTATTTGGTCCCTCCTGATCATATACCCGAAGTATGTGAAATGAAGTCTTGTCATCCTTGCTTCCAAGGAGCATTCTAATTTTTGGGATACTTATTTAGAGTCTTAATAATAACTGTAATAGTAAACAGTATTAACAATATGAAACCTGGATATTTTCTTTCTGTGCTAGAGTAGTAGAAATATTTATTTTGTACTTTTTTTTCATAGATATCCCCTTACTTCCTTCTATTACATCTCTAAGTCTCAATGAAAATGAAGAGAAGAGTGGACCTTTTGTGGTACACTGGCTAAATAATAAAGAGTTGCATTTCACTTTATCCATGGAAGTCTTTTTACAGCAACTTAGAAAAAATTTTGAACAACTATCTTCTGAGGCCAGTGTAGAAGACTGTAATCAAGCTGATCTAAAATCTGATGAAGGTAAAAGAATGAAAAACTTTCATTTTTAAAAAAATATTAATGATTTTAATATTGGAGTAATCCTAGTTCTTTTTAGACATAAACTTCAAATGGCTTAATATTAAGGGCTAGCTTATTTAATAATTATTTCTATATATAATAATAATAATTATTTCTATAATTAATGTAAGTATTTCTGTTCCTAGTCTATTTCTTATGTAAAAGTAACAGAGAAATTAGACTTACTCATTCTTGTGGGGTCTGTAAGCCAACTATGGGAAGAAGAATCTGCGGATTGCTGGAGAGCTTGTTAAAAATTAAGAACTGCAGATTCCACCTATATTTACTCATCCAAAATATGCAAATTGACAAAATTTCCCAGATGATTTATATGCACGTGAAATTTTGTAAAATACTGCTCTTAAAACTTATTTCTTTTATCTACCGCCTTTAATAGAGAGAACACTTAAGATCAAAAACAGATGAAGGACATGCATAGCTCTTTCTTAATTGCCTTGATATATTTGACTTCCATTCACATTCCATTGACAGGAACTAGTCATACTAGTCCTAGAGTCAGTTCTCTCCCTGACTAGATACACTAATGAATGAGAGCATGAATTTGCTACAGTTTGGGTTCATAAATGTTTTTTTAAAAGTTTCTTTTTTGTGTTTTAGTCTACAGATTTATTTTTAATTAGATGCTGAAGGAGCACTAGTAGTATATTTCATACAGAGTTGTGCTAACTCAAAGGCCAAACCTCTCTGGCATTTCAGATACCCTGTGTGGCTCCAAGGGGATAGTCATCTCCCATGTAGTTTATAGCCTCTGAAAATCTGCTCTAGGGTCAGTGATGTGTCAGTTCTGACATTGTAGCAAGAAACTGATCATTTATTATTATTATTATTGACAGTCTGCTGACTCAGCCCTATAAGCTGCCTTCAGCAAAGGTATTTTTAAAAGGGAGCTCATTTCTTCTTAATGTGAAATTTATAGGATTTTAGAGATTTTTTTCCCCCTTTATACTTAGATGCATTTTAAAGATACTTCTTAAGTTACAGGAATAGTGTAATTGTATTTAATTGGTTCATAACTCTTTTGCTTCTAGAAATGGATTATGAGGTTGATGATCTGAAAATAAATCAGGAAAAAAAGGAATTGGGAAGTGATAAAATAGTACCAAACTCGAGTTTTGTACCATTACCGTCTGCTGCCATTGATCATCAGATTGAAGTACTTCTATCTGAATGGAGTAAAAATGCAGATATGTTATTCAGTATTCATCCCGTGGATGGTTCTTTGCTGGTTTGGCATGTGGATTGGCTGGATGAATACCAGCCTGGTATGTTTCGTCAAGTTCAGGTAATATAATTATGATCTCTGAAGAACTAACTTGTTAAATGTTTCCTTTAACCACTTTTATTTTCCTTAAAAATGGTACATTTAATATCACTGTGTTTATTTTCATATTCTAATTTTTGCTTTCTTAATTTTAGGTGTCCTTTGTTTCCAGAATTCCTGTAGCGTTCCCTACTGGTGATGCGAACTCTCTCTGTAAAAGCATAGTGATGTATGCCTGTACTAAGAATGTTGACTTGGCTATTCAGCAAGGCAAACAAAAACCTTCTAGTCTCACACATTCCACATCAATGCTTATTTCTTCTGGTCACAGTAAATCAACTAATAGTTTAAAATTAAGTATTTTCACTCCAAATGTTATGATGATTTCAAAGCATGCTGATGGTTCTCTCAATCAGTGGCTGGTCAGTTTTGCCGAGGAATCTGCTTTTTCTACAGTTCTCAGTATTTCTCACAAATCCCGATATTGTGGCCATCGCTTTCATCTTAATGATTTAGCTTGCCACTCAGTATTACCATTATTACTAACAACATCACACCATAATGCATTAAGGACACCAGATGTTGATAGTGGAAAACAACCTTATGATACTGTCAATATTAAAGAATGTTCTTTGGGACAACAAAATAAAAACACCTCTGATGTGGAGTTTCAAGACCCTAATGCAGTTTATAGTGAACTTATTCTTTGGAGGGTTGATCCAGTTGGGCCATTATCTTTTTCTGGAGGTGTTTCTGAGCTTGCCCGGATTAATTCTCTTCACGTTTCTGCCTTTTCCAATGTGGCATGGCTGCCCACTCTTATACCCAGTTACTGTTTAGGTAAGCATTATAGTTTTTACTCATGTAATACTGATTTTTCTAGTTTTTACGTTCTCCCTAAGTTGTTAAGTTTTAACTGTTTATAAATTCTTTCTAGGTGCATACTGCAACTCCCCTAGTGCATGCTTTGTAGCTAGTGATGGACAATACCTGAGACTATATGAAGCTGTTATTGATGCTAAGAAACTTTTATATGAGCTTTCAAACCCTGACATTTCTGTAAGTAATCAATTTTTTTATGTTTTTACATATTTCATTTGGAAGTATAAGGCATGTTATATATTGTGGTATAATTTGTTATAGGTCACTATCCTTTGTGGTTCTTCTGTTGTGGTTTTTTTGGGTACATTTTTATGGTTCCCTTATAGTTTTATGTCCTTGAAAAAGTTAATATATTTCTTTCATTCATCAACGAGTAGTAGGTTGTTTTTTTTAGAACATGTGTTTCTCTAACACTTCTTGCTTAATAGATATGTATGTAGTGAGGAAGTCATGTTCCAACTTGCTTGAAATACAGGCAAGAATCTTTTCAACACCATTGCAAACCTTTTTAATGACTAACTACATTAATAATTTCTTTTACAAAGGTGAGTACAAAACTGGTTTCTGTAAGGTTGAGGTTAAGAATGTCCCACGTGTCCAACATTTTCAAACATCTGTACCATTCCATCTGTCCTAACATCAATTATTCCTTCTCCTCTCAGCCCTTTCAATACCATCTATGTCTCTTGGTTTTGTAACTGGCTGGAAAGTCTCACAGACACTAAGAAAAATCAAGGAAATGACTCATCTGGTTATCAGTGGTAAAAGCTGATGCACATGGATGTAGAGACTAATGAACAAAGGACCAGGTTTTGACAGGGTGAGGCTCTCAGCTGTTCACTGTTGGAGCCTCTGGATCTAGTTTGATTCAGCATCCACAGTGAAAATGATTGAGTCTTTTTAGGATGTTCAAGCCATCTTACCAGCTATCAGTTTCTGGTTTTGTTAATGTTCTCCTTTAGAAATTGAATGTTTTAGCAGTTTCTGCTACTGCTGTTCCCATGTGTTTTTACTTTGTGATTTTGCAGAATGCAAGGTTTTAAAGAAGCATTTACATAGCAGAAATACTTTTGTTTATTGAGGGCCTTTAGGAGAAAGATTAACAGTCTCCTTCCACGTGATTTACAACTTCAGAAACCCACTGAAGTGTCAGCTGTCAGTCAGTTATGACTTGATGCCAGTGAGTTTCTATGTATCAGTTGTGGATTTAAACACTGGGAATTAAGATGTGAATAAAATAGACAAATCTATTATTATGAAAGATATATTATAGTAATGAGAACATTAAGGAAAGAGGGAAAGTTTAGAAATACATGGAGAGAACCAATGTTTGAAATGAAGAAGAAAGTACCAGGGTGTGGCCAGGGAAAACATCACAGATAGTCACATTTAAGTAAAAATCTGAGGGAGGTAAGAGGGCTAGTTTTGTGTATGTTTATTGTTCTTGTTGTTAGCATGCCATGGAGTTGATCATAACTCATGATGATCCTGTAGTGCAGGTTAGGACACCTCCATAGGGTAATCTTTATGGGAGCAGATTGCCTGGTCTTTGCTTCTGAAGAGGCCCAGTTGAGTTTAACCTCCCAAACTTTAAGTTAGCAACCATGAATTTGCCTGTTAATTCCACTAAGTCTTCTTAGATATTTAGAAGAAAAATAGAGAAACAACTAGAACAAAGATCCACAGGTCAGGTCATGCCTCGTATATACAGGAACAGCAGGGAGGACTTTGTAGCTAGACTAATTGAGGTGGGGAGTAGTTGAAGATAAAGTCAGAAGTTACCTGGCCAGATCATGTTAGGCCTCTTAGATCGTGGTGGTGACTAACTTTTACTTAATTGACTTGGAACCCTTTGGAGAGAGTGATTGATAGGATCTTATGTAGGTTTTGAAAGAAGCCGCAACTGTGGTTGTTGATTGTAGATTGTATCTGAGAAGCAGAAGTGGAATCAGAGACCACTTAGGAACTATTGCAGTAGTCCAGGAGAGACAGAGAGATTTGGATTGGAGTAGTAGCAATAGAGAAGCTAAGATTTGATCAAATTCTTGATATGCTTTAACACTGAATAGTCAGGATTGGTCTGTGTGTGTGTATGTGTGTGTGTGTGTATGTGTGAGAGAGAGAGAGAGAGAAAGAGAGATGAAAAAGATGATTCCCAAGGTCTCTGAGCAATAGGAAGAATTAGGTTGTCATGAGGAAGACTTTAGAAGGAACTCTAGAAGGGGCAGGTTTGGAGAGGCAGGTGGATTCTAGAATTTGGTGAAGGATATGTCAATTTTGAGATGCCTGTTTATATCTAGGTTAGTTTGGGGAGAGATCCATTACAAATTACTAATTACCAATCTCTAGATTTAATGCTCTGAAGTTGGATGAAATCGCTGAGAGAGACTATATAGCTTGAACAACTTGGGGCACCATCCTCTATGGAATTAAAGTCCGTGTAAAACTTTTGACACCCCAGATACTTAACAACTAAGGGCCTGCTGTTGACCAGAAGCCTGTTGATGTCATAAACACTCTATGAACATATACATTATTATATATTATATGTTACTCTGCATATAAGCTACACTTTTAACCTGAGATAAAAAGAGATTCCACAAAATATAAGTACATGTTTTTCATTCCTGCTGGCATACTTTAGCTATGGCTCCACCAGTTTCTTTACTTTGCTTACAATAGTCTTTATTCTGGATTTATCTATCTTGAAATGGTGGGCAGCCACAGCTGCATTTTGCAAACCTATGGGTGCATATCATATCAAGTAATTAACCTTTTTTTCTGCATGTCGCAAGTTTTCTCTGCTTCGAGCACTTCCAGCACCAATAGTGACACTTCAAATGGTATTATTAGTGGATTACATTATTGCACTCAACTTGATGAAAAAATATGAGAGATCACTTCTTAAGGATCTTCAAAATTAATTAGAGACTAACTGTTCTATAGAGGTAATAGTGTCACTTAGTGTTGGTTTGCTTTGTGGTTTTTTTTTCCCCTAATAAAATTTTTCTTTTATACTGGTTGACTTACAAAGTTTGAATACATTGTTTTTTATATTGTGTCTTTCCCTTTTCCTTAACCCACCCCATCTCTCCACCCATCAAATTATGCAGCCCTCTGATTAACACACACCACCGCGACCTTCCGCCCCTTCTCACCTCTGTCCACCCCTCCCCCCGACTTGGATACTCATATATATTCTGCAGTAATGACCTTATACAGTATTTGTCCTTATGGGACTGAATTAGTTCACTTAGCATAATGCTCTCCAGTCCCTCTCAAGTTAGGTAGTACTTTTACAAAATAATTGCTTCTGCATGCTGTGTAGTATTCCATCATGTGAATGTACCATAATTTCTCAATTCATTTCATTGTGGTTAGACATTTTGACTGTTTCCATGTTCTTACGATGGTAAGTGATGCTGCTATGAACACTGGTGTATAAGTCTCAGTATGAGTGTAAGTTCTCATTTTCTCTGGGTATATCCCAAGCAGTGGAATAAGCTAGGTAAATGGAATTTCCTTTTTCAGCTTTCTGAGGAAACACCAAACTGCCTACTAGAATGGTTGTGTCATTTTACAATCCCACCAACAATGTATAAGAGTTCCTATCTTGCCAAACCCTCTCCAAAATTTATAACTTGCTGTCCAGTTAAACTTTGCTACTGCTGCTGGAGTAAGATGGTATCCTATTGTGGTATTTATGTGCATCTGTCTCTTATTGCCAGTGATTTTGAGCATTTCTTCATGTGCTATTGGCCATCTGAATATCTTCCACTGTGAAAATTCTTTCCATGTATTTTGCCCATTTTTTAATTTTGTTGCCAGCCTTTATCTTGTGAAGGCCCTGTAGGATTCTGAAAACTTTTGATAGGAGACCCTTGTCTGAAATGGTATTGCCAAATTTTTTTTCGCAGTCAGCAGGTTTTCTTAACTCTGTTGGAAAATGTTTTTGATGAGCACAGGTGTTTAATCTCTAGAATGTCCCATTCATCAATTTTATCCTTTCCAGATTGTGCGTTTCTGGCTGTATTTGGCAGACCCAGAAAGTTCAAACCTTTGTACATCAAGGGTCAAACATAGTTAAAAGATTCAAACCCTCTGTTACTCCTTTGTAAAAAAGTGGAATAAATGTGATATAATTGGATTCAAGACAAGAAAACATTTTGGGGTAAAAGATTGATCTCCGGGACCGAATACTGCTGATGAGTCAAGTATGCTAAAGCTTGCAAATTGGCCACTGTTGTTAACAGTGAAATCTGAAATACAGCAGTCCTATATGTTTCAGGAAATCAGCATTTATAAGAAATATTTTAGTTTATTTTTTTAGATCCATCACTCCAACTTTTTAATTAATCTTTAAAAAGCACTATTTCTTAGACCCTTTCATAAGATTAAGGTTAGCACTACACATCTATAGAAACAAAATACTTATTTCCCCCCTCACAGTTACAAGTATTGATTTAGTTTTTCTCTGTGCCAAATGAGCTTTTATTGTTAATGATTCTGTGTTGTTGTTATTATTAAGAACCTTTCAAAACTTTACTTTTTTTAATTTAGTAACTTGACAACACACTACAATAACTTTGAGTAAAGGTAGAAGAATAACTATTGTTTCAAGTTTTTGAACTTTAGTTTCATATGGACTTAATTATTACTTTTTAGGTTACTGTCTTCTAATTGTTTAGTAAATGAGATTTTTTCTTTTTGGGGGGGACATCAGAAGTATGTTGGTGAAGTATTTAACATTGTGAGCCAACAATCAACAGCCAGACCAGGATGCATCATTTCATTGGATCCTATTACCAAACTTGTAAGTATTATTTTTCTTACTCTTCCCCCCTCCCCTGTTTGCCATTGAATTGACCCCCCACTCATGGCAGACCCCTTGAGTATCAGTAGAAGAACAGTGGTCCATGGGGTTTTTAGTGCCTGGTTTTTCAGAAAGGTCACCAGGCCTTTCTTCCAAGACACCTCTGAGTGAATTCAAACTGTCCGGTTTTTTTGGTTAGAACACAAGTTTACCACTTGCTTGTACCACCCAAAATCTGTAAACCAGTGTAAACAAATTGTGTAGAGACAATTCCAATGCATGTTAATCTGACATTGAGTTTTAAGGATATAGACATTTATCAGACACTGCCTGTGTTTCTCCCAGAGTGGCTGGTAGATTTGCTTACCAGCCTTTCTATTGACAGTTCAAACTGATAGGTACTTTACCACCAGGCTCCTTAAAGACTTCCATAGCATTAGGTAAATAACAGATGCCAACTTATATTAGTGTTTATTTGCATTCAGTGTGGCAGGAAAACACAACTGCTTCATGTTTTTCAAGAAGACTTCATTTTTAATAACCTTGAAAAGAAAAGTTTGGAAAAGGACAGCATTTTGTCTGATGCAGGTAAAAATTTCTTTTTAGTTTAAGTAAAGAGACTATGTAGAATTTATTAAGCCCTTAAAGATGAATTGTTGGAACATTTTATGTTACCTATTTGAAGTTAAACTTATTCTTTATAAGTTTGTGATACCACAAATAACACTATCTTTTTATCTTAACAAGAAAATAACATGAAAAATTGAGGGAGATTGTTAATTCTCTTTTTAAAACATAATAGAAATATTTATCATTAGCATATTGAGTGGGTTTTGTGTGCATTAGTACTGTATAAATTAATTGAAATGATAGACACCTCTGACTTTCTCACTCAATGCCATTGAGTCAAGACCCAACTATTTGCTGACGCTCCAGTAAGTTTCTAAAGCTATAAATTGCACCAAAACAGATTGTACTTTTTTCCCCCCATGTAGCTACTAATGAATTTGAATTACCAGAGAGGCTCATCGTTTGGTTTAGCAGCACAACTCCCGATGGATCTAACCACTTGAGATCACTTTCTGATCTTTAGGAAACCTATCATTTTATGTAGTAGGTTAAAAGTCTTTAATTTAAAGATCAAATGCCCTAACTAATAATTTCTAAAGTTTTCAAACTTCAAATAATGTCAATACCTACATCTTGTTCAGACTTTTTTATTACTCTGTGTTTTCCATATTGTTTCTATTCCATCTTTTCCATATTCTTCTTCTTTGAGAAGTACTTCTATAGTTTTGCACTTTAATAGTGAAAGCCTAATTTCCTACCATTATTGCTTTGACTATCTTCTATCATTTTCCCTCAGAATTTATGAACTGTTCAAATACACTTTATTGAGAGACTCTTATAATGAAGGAAGGATGCTAAGGACGGGAAGTAAAAGTACTAAAAGAAAGACTTATTTATACAAACAGCATGTTCATTATACTTCCTTTTAATATAAAAAGACTGATAAAAATGTTAACATTATTAATTATCAGATTATCTTTAAATAATCATAGTTCAGATCTTTTGTTCATAGGGTTGTAGTTGACCCAATGGCACCTAAGAATAACAAAGATAATACCTTCCTGAATTAAGATGGGGTTTTTCTATGGTATCTGTTTGCCCTAGCACTTTCATTCCTAGTATTATTCTATTTCTAATTTAGTTTTAATCTCTTTGGAACTACTTTCCCCCCCTGCTTTTTCTTAAAATAGCCAGGAAATTTTTACATTTACTTGATTTCTGAGGATGTTTGTAGGGCCAGGCACTGTTTTGTTCTGTTATAGATATGTCCCTATGAGTTAGAAACTGCTTGAAGTCACCTGAAAACAATATAGATGTTCTTTGAAGTTACTATCTTGTAGCACTTATGTTTGTAGTTACTATGCTGTAGAAACCTAAGTAAAAAAATTTGAACTCTTTTTACATTTCAATTCTGTTATTTTAAATTGAGATATTTAGTAAACTGTCTCATTTATCTGTGTTAATCATAAAAAATATCATTAATACCAACAGGCAGCTCATCTAATAGATTTTCTGAAAAATTTTACCTAATTGTAATAGAGGGTACTCAGGACAACCGCTCATTGTTACACATGTGGAATTTACATTTAAAATCCATTCCTGTCTCACTGGGTATGTATTTTCTTAAACTATTTAAGTAGCCATAAAGTAATAAATTAGGCATGTTTAGACCTTTCAGCCGTCAGTCTTTCATGTTGAGTAGTGATAATTGTGTAGGGTTTTTTTTTTAATTCAGAAACTAAAGGAGCTCTGATTTTCTTGTTGTAAAGAATATTGATACATTCGAATGTATTTGAATTTTATAAATACACTGTTGTTGTTGTTATGTGCCATTGAGTCACTTGCGACTCATAGCAACCCTGTGTACAAGAGCCCTAAACATCGTTCTATCCTGTGCCAGTCTTGCCGTCTGAAACACACTCATTCCCACCACTCCACTCACAGAATTGATCTATCTCATCGAGGGTCTTCCTCTCCTGCACTGTCACTCCACTCTCCCAAACATAATGTCCCTCTTCAAAGACCAGTCCCTCCTTGCAACGTGCCCAAAATATGTCAGACGAAGCTTCAGAATCCTTGACTCCAAGGAGTACTCTGGATTCACCCTCTCCAGGACAAACCTGTTTGTTCTCCTAGCAGTCCATGGTCTATTCAACACTCTTCTCCAGCACCACAGCTCAAAGGCATCAATTCTCTTTCTGTCATCCCTCCCTATTCACTGTCCAACTCTCTGATGCATAGCATGTAATTGCAAAGACTGTAGCCTGGATCAGGAGCACCTTAGTCTCCAGCCTGATGTCGTTGCTCTTCAGTACTCTTGAGAGGTCCCTTACAGCTGACTTTCCCAATGCAATTTGTATCTTGATTTCCTGACTGCTGTTACCAAGAGTGTTGACTGTGGAACCAAATAAACTAAAACTGTTCACTATCTCAATCTCTTCACCATCCATACTGATGCTGCCAATTGGTCCAGTGGTGAGAATCTTTGTTTTCTTGATGTTGAGCTTCAATCCATATTGAAGGCTGCAGTCCTTGACCTTCTGCAGCAAGCGCTTCAGGTCCTCCTCAGTTTTAGCAAGGAGAGTTGTGTCATCTGCATAACGCAGGTTGTTGATGATTTTTCCACCAATCCTAATGCCACATTCCTCCTCATACAGCCCAGCGTCTCGGATGATCTGTTCTGCATACAGATTGAAAAGGCGTGAAGACAAAATACATCCCTGACGGACCCCATTCTTGATTTTGAACCATGTAGTGTCTCCTTATCTGTTCTGACAACTGCCTCTTGATCCAAGTATACATTTCACAGTAGCACAGTCTAATGTCCTGGGATTCCCATCCTTCTCAGAGTCAGCCACAGCTTGTTGTGATCCACACAGTCAAAAGCCTTTGCATAGTCAGTGAAGCACAGATAGACATTCTTCTGGTATTCTCTGCTTTCTGCCAAGATCCATCTAACAATAGCTATAATATCCCTAGTACCACGACCTCTTCTAAATCCAGCCTGCACATCTGGCAGTTCTCTGTTCAGCTCTGGGAGGGTATCAAGAAAATCGCCCATGAAGAATGCAGAAGATGATTACAAAGGCTGAAGAAGAAGAAAAGACCTAGATGGGTGTCAGATAAGACTCTTGAGTATTGCATTAGAGCACCAAGAAGCCAAAGCTAAAGGAAGAAATCAAGGAGCTGAGCAGAAAATTTCAAAAGGTAGCTCAGGATGACAAAGCAAGATAATACAATGTATTGTGCAGAGAGCTGGAGCCAGAAAAACAAAAGGGCCAAACTCGCACAGCATTTCTTAAGCTGAAGGAGTTGAAAAACAAATTCAACACCACAACAAGATAAAGGTACATAATCCAATAGAAAAATGGGCACAGGATATGAACAGACACCTCACCAAAGAAGACATTCAGATGGCTAACAAGCACATGAAGAAATGTTCAAAGTCCGTAGCTCTAAGAGAAATGCAAATTAAAACAACTATGAGATATCATCTCACCCTAGTCAGAATAGCAAAATTTAACAGAACAGCAAGCAACAAATGCTGGCAAGGTTGTGGAGAAACTGGAACCCTTATTCACTGTTGGTGGGAGTGTAAAATGGTGCAACCATTGTGGAAGGCATTATGGCACTTTCTCAAAAAGTTGCAAATAGAGATACCATTTGACCCAGCAATTCCACTACTGGGAATATACCCCCAAAGAGACCATAACTGACATCCAAGCACATATATATACACCCACGTTTATTGCGGCTTTGTTCACAATAGCAAAGAGTTAGAAACGACCTAAGTGCCCATCAACAAACGAATGGATAGAGAAGCTGTGGTATGTTCACATAATGGAATAGTATGCTGCATTGAAAAACAAGGAACTCAAGCAATATTATTCAAAATGGGTGACCCTGAAGGACATGATGCTGAGTGAAGTATCTCAGTTACAAAGGACAAATATTGCATGAGGCCATTGTTGTAAAACGGGACTGACGTCGGGTTTGAGGGGAGACTGAAAAAGATGGGTTCAATAATGTGTACTACATTGAAACAGATAAGGGAGAAAACTGTTTAAAAGGGATATGCGATTAGATATTTTTGTCATGACAGGAGTCCAGAGCGAAGGCTGCATAGTTGAGTGGACCTGGGGGAGTGTTTGTAAAACAATGAAAGAATTTTACTTTTCCAAGAGGGTAGTGTACCAGGGGGAGGGTTAGAAGGGGAAAAAGTACAACAATGAATGAATGGAAATCCAAAGTCTCTGTAAATTTTCATTGAAATTAATAATAAATTTTTTTTAAAAAATCAAGCCTCTGGTGGCAATACTTAAGGATACTTTGGGTAAAATGTTGGATGATCCAGGAAGTATCAAAAGATAATGGAAGGAGTACACAGAGTCACTGTATCAGAAGGAATTGGCTGACAGAGGAATTTCATGAAATAACATTTGAGCAAGAGCCTATGGTAATGAAGAGGAAGTTCAAGTTGCTCTGAAGGAATTGGCAAAAAACAAGGCTCCAGGAGTTGACAGCATACCAGTTGATTTATTTCAACAAACAGGCGCTGCCCTGGATTTGCTAAGTTGTGCCAAGAAATCTAGAGGACAGCCAGCTGGCCAACTGACTGGAAAAGATGAATATTTGTTCCCATTCCAAATAAAGGTGACCCAACAAGTGTGGAAATTATCAAACAATATCATTAAAGCCAAGAAATGTAGATAAACTAGTATTAAAATAATAATGATAAAAACAAAAAATAATATTGATATATTAACTTCTGATCTTTTATAAAGAAGTTATAAATTATAAATGGGTTTTTTGTAGTGTGTCATTTATTGAGTTCCCCCTCCCCTTATTGGTTCTTTTTGTAATATTTTATAGATGAGAAAATAGATACAGAATTACCAGAAGCAGTTTGGCAGCAAAAAGAACATTTTTCTTCTCCAGAGAAGATCAAATCTCCTTTTTCTCAGAAGTATCAAGCTTGCAGAGCAAATCTCCAAAGTACCAGCAGGTTGACACTTTCTTCAGAAATGGTTTATAGCCAAGAATTAAATTTACCAGAAGGAGTTGAGATAATAAGTGTTAAGCCATCAGCAGGTTTGTAAATTTTGTGGAAAGAAAGTAATCAGACTTTGGAATCCATTAGTGTTGACCAAGTGTTTACAACTACCTCCTTTTAAATCCACACAATTCACAAATGGAAAAAATGTATTTAAAATACCATTCATTGAAAACTACTTGAATGTTCAGTTGTATGTCGTATTGGTATTAATTGGAGTAAACTAAATAACACCTAACAATAACATTGAAAACAAATTTTTCATACTACTTTGATATTTGTCAGCCATTTTAGTTTTAAATACTTATTTCTAAAACAAATTTTCAAAAGAGAAGCCTAAAGTTTCTAGGGCAGAGAGGGTAAATGGTTATGTCTTATTTGCTGACTCCGATAGCATTGGCTTTCAGACAGCATTGGCTATTTGGAGGCATGTATTTAGAACAATTTTCTGTGTAGTTTCCGCTGTTTTGGCTTACCTCTATTCAAGGAAAGTGATTCTCTGTATTAATCCCTAGATCCTTGTTAAAAAATGAAAATTATTTGGCCCTGCTCCACAGCTACTGGTTCACAAATTCTGGAGTGCAGTCAGTAGTCTGTTTTAACATACCTTCAGGGATTTTCATGTTCTGAGAACATTAAAAGTCACTATTAAAGGAATCAAGAATATCAAGACAAAAATTCCATCATTTTATCTTCGTTTTCTTTCACTTTTATAGTGAAATATCAGTCATTGTTTTCTCCCACTACTTTTTTATCCTTACCTGATTACATTGTATATTTTTTATTTTTCTATATTGTTATTACTTCAAGAACTTGGTCTTTTCTGAATGATAATGAATGTTGCTTATTGCATCATTTTGAAACATTACTGTATTCTTTTGAATATTTTTTAAAATTTTACAGCCCAGCTGCTGAATTTGAGTACAAGAGTTATTTTGTTTGGTCAAGAATTCTAAGCTATAAAATTAAAGAATTGAAGCAAATTATTAATTAAATTCTATAAGTTTTTATAATAGTATTCTGCTTATATATATTTTTGTTCTCATTAAAGCCTCTTACTGATTTTGTTAATCCTTAAAATACTGTCATGTTCTTAAAAGTAGTTCATACAAAAGGACTAAAACATGTAGTAAGTGAAAACAAAAGTATTTAAAGCTGACATCTTGTTAATGAGTTATTTTCATTTTAGGACATCTGAGTTCATCTTCTATATATCCTGTGTGTAGTGCTCCTTACTTATTGGCAACTTCATGTTCAGATGAAAAAGTGAGGTTCTGGAGATGCAGAGTTACAAGTGGAGAAGCTGCTATACCAAAGAATGGAAAATTGGACCTTGTCTACATTTGGGAAGAATGGCCATTACTTATTGAAGATGGACTTCAAAGCAATAGTAGTATATCTGTTCCTGGTAGACCTATAGAGGTCAGCTGTGCGCATACAAATCGTTTAGCAGTAGCTTATAAACAGCCTGCATATACTAGTAGATCTTCTCAGGACTTTATGATGCATGTTAGTATTTTTGAATGTGAGTCTACAGGAGGATCATGTTGGATTCTTGAGCAGACAATTCATTTGGATGAATTAAGCACAGTATTAGATTCTGGCATAAGTATTGATAGCAATTTAGTGGCCTATAATAAACAAGAGATGTACTTATCCAGTAAAGAAAGTATCACGTCAAACACAAAGCACTTAGTTCACTTAGACTGGGTGTCTAGAGAAGATGGTTCTCATATCCTGACTGTAGGAATAGGATCAAAACTTTTTATGTATGGACCTGTAGTAGGCAAAGTACAAGAACAGACAGGTAAAGAAAGCCTGGCTTTTCCACTTTGGGAAAATGCTAAAGTTGCCCCTATTTCTAAGTTTGTACTCCTTCGAAGTGTGGACTTGATTTCCTCTGTGGAAGGCTTCCCACCTTTTCCTGTTTCTTTATCTTGGGTTCGGGATGGCATCCTTGTGGTAGGAATGGACTGTGAAATGCATGTATATTCCCAATGGCAGCCATCTTCTAAACAAGAACCTGTTATTACAGATTCATACAATGGAAGTACACCATCTATAGTAAGTTTAATAAAACAGAGTAATTCATCAAGTTTTGGGCTACAACCTCCAAAAAAACCTCTGACTCGATCTATGACTAGTCTTGCACAAAAAATTTGTGGAAAGAAAAGTGCATTTGATCCTTCATTAGATATAGAAGATTCTGGTCTCTTTGAAGCAGCTCATGCGCTTTCCCCAACTTTACCTCAGTACCATCCTTTGCAGCTTTTAGAACTCATGGATCTTGGCAAAGTTCGGAGAGCAAAGGCTATCCTGTCACATCTCGTAAAGTGTATTGCTGGAGAAGTTGTGGCTCTGAACGAAGCTGAATCCAATCATGAACGCCGCCTTCGATCTCTAACCATCAGTGCTTCTGGGAGCACTAGCAGAGACCCACAGGCATTCAACAAGAATGAAAGTACCGACTACACAGAAATAGATTCTGTTCCTCCACTTCCTTTATATTCTTTGCTTGCAGCAGATGATGATAGTTGTTCAGCTTTGGAAAAATCTAGTAACCAGAGTACATTAAATAAAGCAAGCCAATTATCAAATGAAAATTACGATGAACTTTTTCAGAGCTCAGTCCTAACTTCTGATAGTCAGGTGTTTGAAACAGATGAAGATAATGTGAAGCCCAGAGTTATTGACCTTTCACAGTATAGTCCAACTTACTTTGGTCCTGAACATGCGCAGGTTCTTTCTGGCCACTTACTTCATTCTAGTTTACCAGGACTTAGCCGGATGGAGCAGATGTCTTTAATGGCTTTAGCTGATACAATTGCAACTACAAGCACTGATATTGGAGAAAGCAGAGACAAAAGCCAAGGTAAAACTAAATTACTTACGTACAAACTGGAGGGAAAACTAGTAATTATATCTTTTCTATTTTACTTAGTTAAATGACTATTTTTTAAATAAATATCTACAGTCTCAACTTTAATATTAACCAATGTTTTATTAAATAATTGCAGTAGATACCTGCCAATGTTTTATTAAAAAATTACAGTAGATACCAGAATTTTTTTAAAAAGTTTTCTGGTTTTTCTTCATATGCTAATACTCATTGGTTAAAGTTATAATTAGTTTTCTAAAATATTAAGAATACTTTTATGTGGGACATTTTAAGTTAACTATAATACATATATCTACACAGAACAGCAAGTATATCCATGGGTAAATGAAATTTTTTTTATCAGCCAGAGACTGCTTTTCATGTCAAATAAATTTAAATGTAAAATTTCAACCAAATTGCAGAAAGATTTGAAATTAAAAAGTCCAGTCTAATATACTATACTACCGTATGTATGTTAGAATTTGAGTATACTAGATATATAGGTTATTAGGATACACTTGTTGAACTAAATTTAAAGGAAGAAATGGGGTAAATTTAAGAAGAAGTTGGTTGATTTTGAATCTTGACTCTTAGAGTAAAAGAAATATTACTAATAGTTATTAATTTTAAATGTGATAGGCTGTAGTTATTTTGTGGTTCTAATTGAAGCAAAAATCAAGATCTCCTGCCCTATAACTTCCAGTGCTAACAGATAACATATATCTAAATATATAATCTAATTCTGGAAAATATTATTGTTTTATATGACACAGGTAAATTTCAGCTCTTATAATTGTATCATGTATCATTTCTTTTTTTAATAATTTAATTTTAATTATTATTTTTAACCCAAGTTTACAGAAAAGTTAGATTTTCATTCATTCATTGTTGTACATTTTGCCCCCTCTCTTCTTCTTCCCCCATTTCAATAAGATCCTCATCAGAGAGAGGAGCGAACTGGGGGGCGGGAGTAGAGGGCTGGGCGGGTAGAGAAGTGCAGCAATGAATGAATGGAAATCCAAATTCTCTGTAAATGTTCATTAAAATTATTTTTTAAAAAATTTTTTAAAAAAAGACTTTTGAAATAAAACAGGAAAATATTCTTTTTTTTAAAAAAAAGATCCTCATCAGAGTTTTTTCATATTGCAGACTGTCATCAAAAACTGTCATCAACCTTGAATCAATTAATTTTCTTATTTTTTTCCTTATGATATACAATTGTATAGAAAAAAGAGACAGTTACATATGTTAATAACTTTTGTCAGTTTGAGAACATTTAATGCTGTGTTTAGTAGTGTAACATATGCTATTTGCCTAATTATTAGCATTTATTTTTATTTTGTTGAATGAAATGGTTTTGTTTGTTACAAATAAAAAATTGTAAATACTTCTACCCATCCCTGTCATAGGTGGAGAAACTCTTGATGAATGTGGATTAAAATTTCTTTTGGCTGTTCGACTCCATACTTTCCTTACAACTTCTCTTCCAGCCTATCGAGCTCAACTCCTCCACCAAGGTAATTTGGGTAATAATTTATTAAAGTAAGAATAGTAGATGAAAAATATAAGCTTATGATCATTTAGTTTCTTTTTGCCCAGACATGATAATGATGACTAATTTAACATTTGGACAGTGAATAAGGAAGACTGATCAATGACTGAATTGAAATATTAGCAAAGAATATTGAATATACCATGGCATGGACTGACAAATGAGCAAAGAAATGTGTTTTGGGGGAAAAGCAGCCAGGGTGCTCCTCAGAGGAATGGATGATGACACTTTGTCTCACATACTTTGGGCATATTGTTTAGAGTGGCCAGTCCTTAGAAAAAGAAACCATGGTTGGAAAGGCAAAGTGTTAACAAAATAGAGGGGACGTTCAAGGAGGTGAATTGACATCGTGACTACAGTCATAGAAGTGAGCATGGTGGAGATTGTGGGGCTGACATGGGAGGGATCATCGTCGACTTGATGACACCTAACAATGACAAGAAGTCTACTTATTTTTTAAACATGTTTATTTCTCTTCATTCTTCTTTATTTAAGACATTGGAATTTTCATTGGTAGGAGAAAAGACTTAAAAGATATTAGACAAATTCTGTATTATTTTTCAAGTGTAGTATTCTTTCAGTTCTTTTTCTTTTCCCTAAAATTTGAATAACAATTTTTAGAAAATAATTTTTATATACTTTAAAATGTTTTTATAATAAAAAATATAGAAAGAACATAAATGCACCCACCTCAAAAAGTACTATTGGTGCCTCTTTCATATTTGTTAGTGTATTTCAGATATAGGAGAGCTCTGTTAACCTAGTAGTGAGTCGTGCTGCCAATTCAAAGGCATACAGATCAAATTCACCAGCTGTTCTGTGTAAGAAAGACGAGAAGACTCCTCCCTGTGCAATTCATAGCCTCTGAAAACCCACTGGAGGGTCACTATTGTTAGGTGTTCTTATTTGGGACTTGTTCAGTAACAAAGGTATTCTCTTAATTTAACTTAAAACAAGAGTATGTGCTCAGTAGCCAAGAACTTCAAGAAATAGAGCATTATTGTTACTTAAAATCAGCTTCCAACCCTTAGTCTGTGACTTTTTTTTTTGGTTTTTCTTTCATTATCAATTTGTTTTTCTCTTCTTCCTTATCTTTTGATTTGTATTTAGCTTCAGAAAACTAAAACTTAAATTCAAAATTTAATCCATTATGTTTAAAAATTTGTAATTTAGGAAGTAATTAAGACAACTTCAAAATCATTACTGTAAAGTCAAAACCAACTTAGAGCTGAGCCTCCAGTGGACTTTTGAAAACTGTAAATCACAAAGGAAGTGATTACACATGTTCCTCCCAAAGTGAAGCGGGTGAACTTGAATTTCCAGAGAGGCACTGCCTTTGGGTCAGCAGTACAACTCCATATGGACTATGTCACTCAAGTATAGAAATGGAAAAGTAATTTCTAAATATAATAATTCATCTACTCCATAGAGACTTGGTTTGTTTTTACTATATTTTCCCCTCTCAAAGAGTTAGATGTAGATTTCTTGAAACAGGACAAAAATTTGAAGCCATGATTATGTCAAAATATGTCAGAACCATATCTTGTTAAATAATCATTTATTTGACTTAGACTTAACTTTAATATGAAACAAAATTTTTGAGAGAGAGAATAGAAGCTGATCACTGCATTAATTGGTAAGAAGTAACAATTGCTAATGTAGTGAACTCTGGTGGCCTAGTGGTAAGGAGATGCGCTGTGAACTCAAAGGCATGTGGTTTGAATCCACATGCTGTTACCCAGGAAGAAGATAAGACAGTCTCTTCCCAGTTTACTGCCTCAGAAAACCCGCTGAGAGGTCAGTTACGTGTCGACTCTGACTTGACAGTAATAACAACAATATAAATATGAACAGATCTTATCAATATGGTGACATGAGGTGATAGTTGCTACTATGCTTCAGTTATTCCACTTAATTTTCACAACCGTATGAAGTAGATGTCATGCTTAGTCACAGTTTATAGATGAAGGAATTGAATCTAACCATTCCTATGATTCTACAATTAGTAGAGGATCTGCCTTTAAGGGCTTTCACAGACTTTGCTTCTCTCATTCACTGGGATTACTCCTTAAAGCAAATTTTTTGGTAAAAAAAAAATGAGAAGCAGCATAGAAGAAAGAAGATACTCACATACAACACTACTAGTATTTAGATCTTTTTAGTTCTAATATGGAACACACATTTTTGATAATCATTATGCAGTGATGTTTATATTTCTTATAAACTTTTTAAAAATTTCTTCAGGCTTGTCTACTAGTCATTTTGCATGGGCATTTCACTCAGTAGCAGAAGAAGAACTGCTGAACATGTTGCCACCAATGCAAAAAGATGATCCCACTTGGTCTGAGCTAAGAGCTATGGGTGTAGGGTGGTGGGTCCGGAATACCCGCAACTTACGCAGATGTATAGAAAGGGTAAGCATTTTTATGTTGGTGTAAAAATGAATGTTTTTTTGGGTATTTCTTTAAGTAGCATTCCAGTTTACTTTGCTGCTCCTTTTTTTTTAAAGACGGTGGGATGTTTTAAAATCATCTTTATATTTCCAAATGTTAGTTATATAATTTTTAAAATTCACATCTAGTCTTAAATTGCTCGTTAACACTTATATTTGGTTTTTACAAAATAATTTGTATGCATGTGTAGAAAAGTAAAATAAGGCAGAAGTAGTAGTGAAAAGCAGAAGCATTTTTATAATTTTACTTTTTGTATTTAGACACATACACACATGGAGCTCTGCTGGCATAGTGCATATCAAACTGTTAATGGAATGACTGACAGCTGGAGCCCACCAGCTGCTGCATAGTTGAAACATGGGCAGTTTGCTCCTTTAAAGATGTATAGCATTGGCAACTCAAAGGAGGGTCATCATGAGTCAGAAATTAACTAAATGCATTGTGTTTGGTATTTGATTTTTTTCCCTAAGTGTATGTGTATACACATTAATATTCTTATAATTTAAGAAGCGTATTGGTCATAAAAATCATGTAAGCCAGCCTTCTTTAGAGGGAAACACTTTTTTCACTTAAAAGTGTTACTGTTACATTTTTACTAATATTTTCTTCTTATAGGTAGCCAAAGCTGCATTTTATAGAAAAAATGATCCTTTAGATGCTGCCATTTTTTACCTTGCCATGAAAAAGAAAGCTGTGATTTGGGGATTATATAGGTAGGTGAGGAAACTATGTTTCAAAATGGAAAACTTTTTATTAAGTAGTCTAAATATATTAAGTAAAAATTTTATGTTCTTTTGATATTGTTTAAATTTTGATGAGAGATTTTATAAAGAAAACATTCAGCCATTTTCCAAAGTGGAAGAATCTTGATGAAATCCATTTGTTTGTAGTTGTATCAGTCAGAAGCTCATGTTTTTCCTTAGTGAAGGCAAATAGAATGAAACTCTGTCTTACATACTTTGAGCATGTTGACAAGGAGAGATCAGCCCATGAAAGAAGATAGTGTGCTGGGGAAGTGGAGAGTCAGGAAAGAAGAAAAACCCTCAATAAGATAAGTTGGCACAGTGACTATAACAATGAGCACAAGCATGTTGGAGATCATGAGGAAGGTGCAGGATAGAGTAAGGGTTCTGATCTGTTGTTCCTTGGGATATTATGAGTCATAGTAGACTTAGTAGTGCATAACAGTAGCAACAGCAGCGTCACGTTCCTAGAGTTCAAAAGTAATTTAAACGAAAAATTTACATCTGTGGTGGAGAATGAGATTGACTGATGGAGTACAGAACAGACATCTTTTCTTTGCCCTGTTGAGAACTCATGAACCAGGCTGTCTTTAAATTGCATCTATCTTGAGGGCCTTGATTCCATTGCTGAACCGACAACAGAATTTTTCTTTCTCTCATTCCTCTTAGCAAGACTTACTCAACATGGTTGCCATAGCTTGCTCATAATTTATTTTATGTTCAGCTCTAGGTTAGTATGTATGAACAGAAATCTTTAGGAGATTGTTCTGGTAACGAGAGAGTTCTTTAGGCTTAGTGAGAAGGAATTGGGCTATCAGCTGAAAGGCACATGGTTCAAATCAATAGGAGAAAGATGGGCAGTTTCCTCCGACATGATTAACTGCCTCTCGAGGGTCACCTATGAGTTGGTTCAGACTCAACAGTATGCAATGACAAGACTCTAGGTATCTTCCAAGTACCTAACACTCTAGGATCTTTGGTGACCTAGGGAGTAAGAAATTGAGCTGCAAACCCAAAGGCAGGGATTTCAAATACATCAGCTGCACCACAGGAGAAAAATTGGCCGTCTCCTCCCATGCAGTTTATATTGTCTGAAAAATAGCTGGAGAGTCAGCTATGAGTTAGTTGATTAATTTTGAAATTGCTAACTTCGTATTACTGATTTGCTATGGAAATACTGTGGTTTGTTGTTTGTTTTTCCCCCCATAGATCTCAAAAGGATGCCAAGATGACACAGTTTTTTGGGCACAATTTTGATGAAGATAGGTGGCGTAAAGCCGCTTTAAAAAATGCTTTTTCTTTGCTGGGCAAACAGCGATTTGAACATGCTGCAGCATTTTTTCTTTTAGCTGGTTGCCTCAGGGATGCAGTTGAGGTATGAATTAAATATTTTTCTATTTCCTCCCACTAGCATTATTAACAGCTTTTCCCTATGGCTTACACGTTAATATTTTTAATTCTAGCTTAATAGTTAATTATTAATAATTTAATTATAGCTGGAAATAATAGAGGGCTAAATACCTAAATGTATCTGATGTTTAATAATTATTTTTAATATTTGTCTTTTAACGTGAGTAATATTTGAACAGAGTTAAGGTTAACTATGTTGAGTTGGTTAATAGAAATAGGGAGTTGATCTGACTCTTCAAAATATTCATGAACAAGTTTTCTTGGGGTTTTTAGTGGTTTGTACAGTAAGTTTAAACAAATGTGAATTAATTTCTGCCTTTGACTTTGATGAAGTTTAAAAGAATTTTAACTGATTATTTCTTAGAAAATATGTTTAAAACATGTAAGATATTACAGCATTTCCTCGTTAAATTATCCTTTCAATCTGTTTCATTCAAGTGATTTAAAAAAAAAAAAAAGCCAACCTCTTTAACTTGTTTCCGTAGTCTGAAAAGGATGGAAAAGAAAGTTTCAAGAGTAAAACATAGGTTGTTTGAATTGGTCCTGTTAGGAGTTTCTACTATTTCCTTATTAGACTAATTCTTTTCTGCAAATACATATTTAGCACTAGCAAATGAATCACAAGTATTAACAAAAATATTGTCAAGTAGATTTACTCAAACAAGCAGTGTATGTTTTGTTATTTTCTTTGCTTCCTAATAGAGCTTTTTGTTCTTTTAGTTATTAGTGAGTCAATTTACTTTATCCTAAGACAAAAGAATCCTCTGTTTATAAATAAACTTTCTTCTTTTCCTTCTAAGGTATGTCTTGAGAAACTGAATGATATTCAGTTGGCTCTTGTAATAGCAAGACTATATGAGTCTGAGTTTGATACATCTTCAACATATAAATCTATATTACGTAAAAAAGTTTTGGGAATTGACTCTCTTGTCAGTGAAAACAGCATAAATACGCATTATGATCCTTTTCTTCGGAGTATGGCATATTGGATTTTGGAAGATTATGGCGGTGCTCTGGAAACATTAATAATGCCATCTATCCAAGATCATGGTAAGCTACATTTTGAAAATGTTAATCGTTAAGTTCTTTAGGAAAACTTGCTGGCTGTACAATACTGTTAGACTGTATGGTTTAATTAGAAACAGCTTTATACATATTACTGTTGGAATCGACGTATAGCTGACCCTCCAGCAGATTTTTAGTAGCAGTACATCTCATGGGGTCAAACTCATCATTGTTGAGTTGGGATTGACACATTGTTGGGTCTCCATTGAGTTTCTGAGGCTAGAAATTGCACAGGAGGAGATTGCCTATTTTTCTTCTGAGAAAAGGAGCTACTGGTAGATTTGAACCACTGGCGAGGCATTACAACTCCTCAGACACTGCACTGTCATAATTTCTTAATTTATACAAATAATAATTAAGAAACCAAAACCTTTAGCTTTTCTGTTTGGTTTTAGTTTTTTGTTTTTGTTTTTTTTTAAATTACATTGATTTTAATGAAAGTTTACGGAAAGGTTGGGTTTTCATTCATTTATTCATTATTGTACATTTTCATCCCTCCCCCCTTCCAGTCTATTTTGTAATGCACCTCTCATTCCAGATTATTGTCATACATGTAATGCTTAATCATACAGTCCTTTCAGACAGTTCTTCCTGTCATCTGTTCCAATGCAGTGTTCATTATCTATCCACCCTTATCCTATTCTCCCTCCAATCCTCCATGCCAGTCTTGTTTTGTAGCAGCAGTGTTATGCAGTATTGGTCCTTTTGTGATTGAGATATTTCACTCAGCATAAAGTCTTCCAGGCTCACCACATTGTACAGTGTTCTGCAAGCTCATTGTTTTTCCAGTGCTGTGGAATATTCCATTGTGTGAATATATCATAGTTTTTCTGTCCATTTGTTCACTCATGAGCACTTACTTGGGCTTCTTCCATCTCTTCACTATTTTGAATAACACAGAAATAAATATAAGTGCATGCATCTGTTTGAGTCACAGCTCTGGTTTTTTTAGAGTATATTCTCAGTAGTGTAATAGCTGGGTCAGATAGTATTTCAGTTTCCAACTTTTTGAAAAAGCGCCAGACTGCCTTCTGCAGTGGTTGTACCATTCTCACCAGCAGAGAATAAGAGTTCCAATCTTTCCACAAGCTCACCAGCATTTGTTGTTTGCTATCCCTGTTGAACTTTGGAGATGGTATCTCATGGTTGTTTTGCACTTTTCTGTTTTTATGAAATAGAATTCTTAAGTAAATGTACTATTAATCTTTGAATATAAATGTTTGCAGAACTACTAATATAAATCCATTTTTTTCTTTGATGGGAATATGAATGTTGGTCTTGTTCTTTTTACCATAAAAATATATTGAGTATAAATAGACATGTTACAATGATCTGAAACTTTCGTGCTAATTAAACCCTTGACACTATTGTTTATTTGAAGAGTGAGGTGTAGAAGATATTTTTGAAAATTTTAATTTGGTGAAAATACGCACAATAGAAACCCATTCATCAATTTCTACATATACAATGCAGTAACATTGATTACATTCTTCACATTTTGTCAGCATTCCTGTAATCTCTACCTTTATTATTTTATCACTTTAGGCTTGAAATCATTCTTCCCAACCCCTCAGTGCCTCTCTGTGCTTTAGAGTCATTGTTGGTAGTACTCACGGCAAACACTGTTTACTAATTTTGCTGAATTAGGGTTTAGTTTAAAGATGATATCAGAGGATAATTTCAGTTCATGGTTTAAATATTTTTCTCAGACAGATAGATTTAGGGGGTTCCTCCTGTCTCAATCCAAAAAGTTTAGAGTCTGTAAGAATTTGAAGCTGTCTTCCATGTTTTTTTCTCTTTTTTATTAATATTCATCTGTTGATTCCTTGAACAAAATAATGGTAGCTGATCACCATTTAGTTCTTCTGAGTTCATGGCTAAAGAGGCAGTTGTCCATGGGGGCCCTTAAACTTACAGTCCAGTTTCTTCTCCATTGTTGTTGTCTGACATCAGATTGGAACCAACTCATAGCTGACCCTCAGCAGGTTTTCAGAGGCAGTAAATTGAACAGCAGGAGATTGCCTATCCTTCTCTCCCAGAGCTGCTGGTAGATTGGAACCACGTGCCTTTGAGATTGTAGCACAGCTTCTTTTCACTCCATTGTTGTGTGCCATCAAATCTAAACTGACCCATAGTGGACCCTCCAGTAGGTTTCATAGGCAGTAAATCACACAGGAGGAAGTTGCCTGTCGTTCCCTTGCAGCATATAATGGATTCAAACTATGTGCTTTTGGGATTGCAGTGTAGCTTCTTAAAACCAGGGCACCAGAGCTCTCTAGAGGATGTTATTTTAATGTAACCTTTCCAGCTGTACTTCTGCTTTTTGTTTTAGGAATCCTCTTTGCTAAAGCTTTGTTAAAACCAGCGTAGATGAAACTCTTCATATGAATGAATATGAAAATGATAAGATTTGCTTTTCAACTACTTTTCTATGAAGTAGATTGTGTTTAGTAGCCGAGGCAATAGCTGTCATTATGTGGTATACTAATTGTGTAAAAAGAACTAGTTTATAACCTTTCATATGATATAATTTAATCAGGAAGTATCATGCATCTTAACTTCTTCTCTTACGAGGAACCCCTTGTGACTCGGTAGTTCATATCTATCTTCTAGCCATCAGAACTGGTGGTTTCCAAGTTGACCTTTGTGTGATAAAAGGGAAAAAAGAAAGGCCTTTTCTTGTCATTTTCTTTATACCTACAGATCCATGTTTATAGGTTAACATATGTTCATTTGTTTTCAAAGACATTGAAAACTGTCTTCTAGAGGAGAGTTGCAAAAGATAGTAGTATCTTGGGCCAGGATAAGAGGAATGGAGGCAGAGAGAAGTGGTTTGATTTAGGATAACATTTTAGTATTGGCTAGACAGAACTTGAATGAACATGAAATGTGAAGGAAAGAGGAGTTGATTATAACTTGAGGGTTTTCCAGTTAAGCAGCAAGTAAGTGAGATGGGGAAAGCTCAGGTAAGACCAAATTTTAGGAGATGCTGTTTTAAATAAAGATGACCCCTACAAAGGATCTGGAAGTAAAAATTTGCACATTATCTGCAAGTAGGGAGCGTTTGTGGCTCACTCAGTGTTGAGAAATTGTGCTGCCAACTAAAGGCACACAATTCAAATACACCAACTGCACCATAGGAGAAAGATGGGCCATCTCCTCCTGTGTAATTTAATGTCTCTGAAAATCTGTTGGATGGTCAGCTATGAGTTGGTTCATACTTGATGTACTTAACAGCAAGTAGACCATACTTAAAGCTGTAGGAATGTGTGAGTTTATCCAGAGAATATAGATGGAAAAGAAGTCAAGAACTGAACCCAAAGACACTGTTAGCATTTCAGAGATAGGGACTATGAGAAAAGCCTGACAAAGCTAAAAAGTGTCCCATGAAAGATAATATGACTTAAGAGTAAACAAACAGGTTTTCTAAAATATTCTTAGATAGTATTGTAATTTAAGTGGGAAAGCAGTGTTATCTATGTTAGAATATTTTATTATAAATTGTAGCTTTGTTCAATGCCACTGAGTCTAGAAAAGACCAGGTAGATAAATGTACCATAATTGAGGGGGAAAAATAAATCACTAAAATGTATATGCCGTATCAATATAATACAAATACCATTTAGCTCTTGAAGAATTGTTATTTGCTCACATGGTAAATTTACTTCCAGGTCAAGAAGCCATGTCGTCAGCCTGTAATCCTGCGGTTTTTAATTTCTACAATTTTCTAAGAACACATCCCCTTTTGCTGAGACGTCATTTTGGATCTTCTGATGTATTTTCCACACACATGAATTTAACAGGGAAAGGTGGACTGGCAGGAACAATTAATTTAAGTGAAAGAAGATTATTTTTTACCACTGCTAGTGCTCATTTAAAAGCTGGCTGTCCCATGTTGGCTTTGGAAGTATTATCAAAGATGCCTAAAGTCATAAAAAAGACAAAACTTTTTGGTAGGACATCTAGTTTTCTGGAAACTAGTAAAGACTTTTCTCCTTCTTCTCCATTAAAATTGGATACAAGAGAAGACAAGTCTGCTATTGATTGGTCACAGTCTCTGATGAATGGCTTTGAGTCTTCTTCAGAGGGCTCCTCAGAAAAACAATCAAATTCTACTCTTTCTTTTGACTGGAGCCAACCAAGTGTTGTATTTCAGGAAGACTCTTTAGAATTAAAATGGGACAGTGATAATGATGAAGAAAATGAGGATCTTCCTTTATCAATGAAGGAACTAAAACCTTTACAGAAGAAAATAGGTAAAAAATTAGATGAAACTAGTTCTAATTACACAGAATCTTTCAGCACACTAGATGAAAACGACATCCTAACTCCTTCAGAAGACACAATTGCCGTGCAGTTGAAATTTAGAGCATGTTTAAAGATTCTCACAGTAGAACTTCGTACTTTGTCGACTGGCTATGAAATAGATGGTGGAAAATTGCGTTACCAACTCTATCACTGGCTTGAAAAGGAAGTTATAGCTCTTCAGAGGGCTTGTGATTATTGTTCAGATGTTGAAGAATTACAGTCTGCAGTTGTTGAACATGGAGATGAATTTGTATTGAATGAAGATGCAGAAGATTTGCTTTGCCAAAATAAACTGAGAGAAAATTTTAAGGAAAAAAGGTGGTGGCTCCTAAAGTACCAGTCACTCTTGAGGATGTTTCTTAGTTACTGTATACTTCATGGGTCCCATGGTGGGGGTCTTGCATCTGTGAGGATGGAATTGATTTTACTTTTGCAAGAATCTCAGCAGGTATGTAACATTACACAGTGAATGTGTTCGTGGTATTTTTATACTGGCTTTTTGTTGGTTTTTATATGTTCAATTTCTTGATTATTTTTTTAATTTGCATTTTTAAGGAGCATTCCCTTTTGTATAGAGCTACATTTTGTCAATATGAAAAGTTGTATATTTATTGTGACTTAAGGACAGTTCCCTATTAGGGCTATGATCTTTGGAAATCATATTCTGGAAACTTTTATGAATACGTATGAGGCAGAGAGCTTCTGTTTCCTACAAGAAATGTTTTACATCACTTTTCAGTATTATGGAAGAATACTTATATTTTTGGACCTTTTTGGACCCTTTTCAACTCTAGCTTTCTGTTACTCTTAGTTTTTAAAATTTTTCTTTTAACGTTTTTCAAAAGTTGAATTATATAAGAAATGTTGAATTGCCTAAGTAATGATGTGTAAGCACAAATAACCTTTTTTTCCTCCTTTATTTTCAAGGAAACATCAGAAGCAATTTATCCTAGCCCTCTCTCAGAACAAACCTCAGTACCTCTCCTCTTTGCTTGTACAGCCAGTGCCAAGACAGTAGTTGCCAATCCATTATTGCACCTCAGTAATCTAACACATGATATTCTACATGCCATAGTAAGCTTGGATTCACCACCTCATCCTGATATCCAAAATAATAATGTAAGTATGCTTTGTATTGATCTTTCATTTACCTATACAGTTATAAAAATAAGATAAATGTCAAGGCTTTTTATTATCCATTTTAATATCAGGCTATATATGGTTTATATTGGTTCTAAGCAAAAGAAACTTCTATTAGTAGACGAGGCACATCATATATTTCTTATAATTAGTGTTGTTTTTGTTGTTGTTAGGTGTTGTTGATTTGAATGTGATTCATGGTGAGCCTATGAACAGATGACCTGAACCCTGTCTTATCTTGTGCCATCCTCATCATCTCTGACACACTTGAGCCCATCGCTGAAGTCACTATGTCAGTCCATATTTTAGGGGGTCTTCCTCTCTTTTGCTGATTCTCCCTCTTTCCAAGCATGTCCCGTTCCAAGGAATAGCCTTCCCTAGCTACATGTCTAAAGTATGATTGATGAAGCTACCCCATATTTACCTCCAAGGTGCACTCTGGCCACACATTTTCAAAGACATCTGATTGTTCTTTTGGCAGTCTACGGCATAGTCAATACTCTGATTTTAAATCAAAATACTAGTAATTTAGCCTTATTTAATCAAGATTAAGAAGTAAGAGTATTGACTGTCACATGGACTGCCAAAAGAACAAACAGATGTATCTTAGAAGAAGTACAAACAAGGTGTGCCTTAGAGGCAAGGATGGTATAACTTTGTCTCATATATTTTGAGCCTCTTTTCTAGAGGGGCCAGTCCTTGGGAAAAGGCATCATGCTGGAAAAGATAGTTAAGGAAAGAAACAGAGACCTTCAGTGAGATGGAATGACACCATGCCTGTGGCTATGGGTTTGAGTGTGAAAGAGATAGTGAGGATGGCACAGAATAGGGCAGGGCTCCAATCTGTTGTTCATAGGGGTGCTATAGTCAACTTGATAGCACCTAACAAAAGTAGTAGTATCTAGATACATGGAGGAAACCTTAACAGTTCATTTAACTGTGCTGCTGGTTTTAGAAAGATGCAAATGATGTGTTTTTAAATTGTTCATTGCTATTTAGTCAGAACCCACTCATTGCATATCTTCCAGCAGATATTTAGAGGCTGTCATTGCACAGGAGGACATTGCCCGTTTTTCTTCCCTGGAGTCACTGGTGGGTTTGAGCTGCTGGCCCTTGAGTTGGCAGCACAGCTCCCTACCTACTAGACCACCAGAGCTACTTATTTTATAGTTGTTTTTTAAATACATAATATATAAATAAGTTTTCATTTGTTACTATTAGAGCATTACCTGTTTTAAAAATAATGTTATTTTCAAAACAGAAGCTTTGTTAGACCTTTAGTCTAGGCAGTGCTCTGTGGACCTGCGAAATCAGACTCTTTGGTGTACTTAGTAAAAATTCATGTTCCTAAATTTACTCAGGTTTATTGAATTGGTCTGAGATTGAGACTAAGGCATACTTGTTTTTCTTAAGTTGTCAGGTGATTCTGGAGCATAGTTACTTATCTAGTTGATTATGTAATGAACTACAGTATGTTTTCTGTCTGTAATTATTCTTTTATCCATCATTTTACCATGTTTTATTTCATGTTTAGTGTCCTAACATCTTGAAATGTTTTGCTGTGTGACCATGTTCCTTTGATACCAGAGAAAGATGAAGGAGTCTCCTTCCATATAGATTTACAGCCTTGGAAACACTGTGGGGCAGTTCACCTCTGTCCTGGAGGGTTGCTCTGAGCTGTAATTGACTGGATTGGAGTGGCTTTGATGACTTATTTGACTGTCTTTGTCTCCTTCCATTTCTCTTTTACATTTTCTTATGATCCATCATTTGGTTCTCACCTGCTTTTCAGGCTCTGTTACTCCAGCTCAATTTTCTACATGTCTACTAATAGAATCTTCTACAATTTTCCTTTCTTAAAAAATCTTAACCCTTGAAATTTAAGTTTGCCATTTTTCCTTTATAACTTTTTTTTTTCAGAATTATTAAAATTCTTTTTATTCCATAGAAATATTTTGGGAGTTGTTTTTTTTAATTATTATTAAATTTTATTAGTTTTAGTGAACATTTACAGAGATTTTGGGTTTTCATTCATTCATTTTTGCAATATAGCTTTTTGTACTTTATTTGATACAGTTAGGGATTTCATTTCCTTCAGAATGTGCTTGTTCTAGTGAACTCTGTTCCACATAGAACTTTAATTATAGGATAATTCTGGTGAATCAGTTACCTTTTGTTGCTTAAGAAATATTCTGAAATACTAGTTTAAAACATTTCAATTTTTTAGCTAATTACTTATCTATTGACTTTATTTATTCTCCTTTGAGCTGGTGAGACTGACCTCCTATATCTTCTGTTTCATCTTTGGCCAACTAGTAGATCACATGAATACCAAGTGTCCTGGAATGGCCTCCCTTACATGCCTGGTGGATAGCAGAACATTAGCAGGTCCAGAAAAGTCTATTTTATATGCCTCATCCTCTAGAGAACAACCTGAAGGGTTTTTTACATATTAATTGCGGGGGTATGAAAAATAGCAAGAGTAGATTTTTTTGTTGAGTCATTGGGGTTTTCAACGTACACTATCATGTCATTTGTGTGTATTGACCACTTGCGTGTTTCACCACTTCTTTGCCAATTTGGATACCTCTTCCTTCTTTTGCCTTATTGACCTAGCCAGAACTTCAAATGCAATATTGAATAGGAATGGTGATAGTTGGCAGACTTGCCTCATCTTGTTCTCAAGGGGAATGTCTTTACTCTATCTCCACTGAAAATTATGTTGGTTCTTGATTTTGCATGTATACATTTGTTGAGAAGATTCCCCTATCATCCTGTTGCTGAGTGTTTTAATCAGGAAGGGGTGCTGGATTTTGTCAAAGGCTTTTTCTGCATCAGGTGGTTCTTGTCCTTTGCTTTAGTAATGTGATGAATTGCATTAGTTGTTTTTCTTATATTGAACTATCCCTGCATTCCTATTATGAATCCCACTTGATCATAATGAATTGTTTTACTATTCTATTAACTATTTTGTTGGCCCAGATTTTGTCAAGACTTTTTTATCTATATTCATGAGAAATAGTGGTCTACAGTTTTGTGGGGTTTTTCTTGGGGTTTTGTGTGTGCGTGTGATGTCCTTGGTTTTGTTTAGAGGAGTTATGCTTGCTTCGTAGAATGATCATTTCTTCAAGATTTCAAATGTATTGGAGTGTAGCTTTTCAGATTATTCTGATATTACTGATTTAAGGCTGGTTCTGTTGTGTTGTCACCCCTTCAATTTCTTATTTGTCTCTTTTCTTGCATTAAATTTACCAGTTTTTGTGTATTTTATTAACCCTTTCGAAAGAACCAGCTCCTGGTTTTACTGATGGGTTCAGTTGCTCTTCTGTCCCATTGATTTCAGCCCTTATTTTGATAATTGCCTTTACTCTAGAGACTGTGGGATTATATTATTCTTTTTATTCTGTCTTTTTATTATATGTTTCTGTTTGCTAAAGGTGTTAAGTAATTTTTCTCCTTTCCTGTTTTTATGTGTTTGCTTATTACTATGAACTGACTCCCAAAGACTACCTTAGCTATATTTGAGAGGTTTTAATATGATGTGTTTTCATTTTAAGAAACTTTTTAATTTCAGTTTTTATTTCTTCTGTAAGTCAGTAGTGCTCAAGCAAAGTTTTATTTAGCTTCCCATACGGATGTTGTTTTTTCCTTTACCTTGACAGTTTTTTCCTTTTTCTTGTTAATGTCTATCTTAATAGTGTTGTGGTCCAAGAAGATACTTTTTATTATTTCATTGCTTTTGAATTTATTAAGACTTGCTTGATGTCCTACTATGAGCTCAATTCTAGAGAATTTATAAGGTACACTTCAGAAGAAAGTAAATTTTTAGTTGGGTAAAGTACACTGAATTCATCTGTGAGGTCATGTTGGCTAGTATAGTTTTGTTGTTCTGCATTTTGGATGAATTTCTTTTGAGTTGACCTGTCCTTTTTAGAGAGTGGTATGTTAATGTCTCCTACTACAGTTGTGGTTCTATTTGATTTTTCAAATCTGTTGACCATTTATTGTATTTTTCAAGACTACATTTGGTATATAGATGCTAGCCAAAGTTATGTCTTCTTAATTAATTACACCTTTAATCATCGTGCAGTGTGCCCTTCCTTATCTTTTGTGGTGGTTTTCATTCTAATGTTTATTTTATTTCATTCTAAAGCGTATTTAGTATTATTTAGTAAAGATTAGTATTGTCACTCCTGCTTTTTTGATGGATGCCATTTCCTTGGTGTATTTTTTCCCAGCTTTTGATTTTTAGTTTATCTTTTTCCTCATTTCTTAGATATGTCTCTTGTAGGGAGCATACTGATGGACTTAGGGGTTTTTATATCCACTATGCTACATTTTCCTCTTAATTGGCTCATTTAAGCCATTCACATTATGTGTGATTATTGACAGGCTTATTTTTATGTTTGCAGTTTTGATGTGTTTCTCTCTCTGTTGTTGCTAGTTACTTTGGTCATTCAATTTTCGTTTGCTACCTCTATATTAAGGACTTCCTTAACATTTCTTGTGGACTTGGCTTTGTTTTCAAGAATTCCTTATGTTACCCTTTGTGCTGCCACTTTCTTTCTGCTTGTTCAGCTTCGAAAAGTCTATAGGGTCCATGGTGCCCAGCCAGAATGGTATGATCTTGAAGTCCCACTTCCACAAAGACCTGCAGCGACACATGGCCACGTGTTTCAATCAGCTGGCAGGAAGGTCCACAGACATAAGGCCTGCCAGGCAAAAGCGTGCCACTCTGCCCCACACCCCACTTTCAGCCCATCCTGCATTGCCACGTGGTGCAGACTCACACCAAAGTGAAAGCTCCCTGGAGCTTCAGCTTGGAAGAGCTCAGGGTAGCCAGCATCCACAAGAAGGTGTCTCAGACCATTGGAATCTCTGTGGACCCATGGAGGAGGAATAAGTCCACTGAGTCCTTCAGGCCAACATGCAGCAGCTGAAGGAATATCGCTCCAATCTCATCCTCTTCCCACAGAAGACTTCTGCCCCCAAGAAAGGAGACAGTTCTGCTGTGGAACTCAAACTGGCCACTCACCTTGTGGGACTTGTGATATTTATCCAGAATGTCTACAATGAGAAAGCACGGGTGATCATACAGAAATAGAATCACATTAATGCCTTTGCTAGTTTCCACCTGGCCAAGGATCCTAGCCAAGAAGGCCAAGGAGGCTGCAGAACAGGGCATGGAGAAGAAATAGTAGGCTGTTTCTAGGGAACTCTAATAAAAGCCTTGAAGGTACCCCCCCGAAAAAAAAAAAAAACCAAACAAAAAAAAAAGCAAAAAACAACCAACCAACCAACTTCCTTGTGTTCTTGTTTTTTTGGCAAATGACCTTCCTAAATTACCCCTTATTTTAATGGATAGCTTTTCTAGGTCCAGGGTCCTTGGCTGGCAACTGTTTTCTTATAGCTTTCTGTATCTATCATTCCATTATTTTCTTTCATTATTGGTTTCTCCTGGGTAATCAGAGCTTAATCTAATTAGTTCTCCTTTGTATGTCCTCTTTGTTTTTCTCCCACTGCTGTTAGTACTCTGTCTTTATCTTTGATTTTTGAGCATTTGACTTTATATGTTGTGATGTGTGCTGGTTTGATTTGTTGTTGGTGTTTGTTTTTTTTTCTTTGGGGGCCTACTCTGGAGTCTGGTGCTTCTTGAATGTGGATTTTTTTCATTTTTCATGATACCTGGGAAATTTTCTTCTAGTTGTTGTTATGTGCTATTAAATCACCTACGACTCATAGTGACCCCTGTGTGCAATAGCACTGAACCTCGCTTGCCCTATCCTAAGCTAGTCACACTGACTTCAACACACCTACCCCTATTACCCCAGTCACACTGTCCATCTCATCCCAGATCTTCTCTCGTGCTGTTTCTTCACTCTTCTAAATATGATGTCCCTATCCAAAGACCAATCCCTTCTGCCATGTGCCCAGAGTATGTGAGACAGAGCTTCAAAATGCTAGCCTCCAGGTAAAAAGTTCGTTTCATGCTCTCCAAGACAGAACCGTTTGTTTTGTTGGTGGTCCATGGTATATTTAATGCTTTTCTCCAGCACCACAACCCAAATACATCAATTCTTCTGTCATCCTTAGTCATTGTCCAGCTCTCTGATTCATAGCAAGTAATTGTGAAGATCATGGTCTGATCAGGTACATCTTAATCTCTACACTGACATCATTGCTGTTTAGCACTTTAGAAAATATTCTGACAGCAGACTTCGCTAATGCAGTTTGGTCTTTTGATTTCTTGACTGCTGGTGCCAATAGTGTTGATTGTGGAGCTGAGCAAGTTGAAATTGTTAACACCTCACTCTCTGTCTGTCATGGTGCTGCCAGTTAGCCCAGTGGTGAGAATCTTTGTCTCCTTGATGTTTAACTTTAATCCATATTGAAGACTACAGTTTGTGATCTTTTGCAGCAAACACTTCAGGTCCTCCTCTGTTTCAGCCCCAAGGTGGTATCATCTGCATAACGCAGGCTGTTGTTTTCTTCTAGTACTTCTATCATAATTTTCTCAGTGCTTTCCCTCCCACTTTCCTGATTTGGAATTCTGATCACACGTGTATTGTTTTTGATGTTATCCCACTTGATTTTGATGTTTCCTTCCTTTTCCTTCTATCTTCTCTTTATATCCTTACAGATTCTTGTCTTATAGCTCACTTTCTCTCTCTTCTATCCTGCTTTTTGGTCCCTCCAGCAAATTGAAAACTTCTGCCATTTCACTGTTAATATTCTGGAATGCATGTTTATGCATACTCTGTTGTTGGCGTCTTCTCTGACTTTTGATTAGTTGTTGGTTTTTTTAAATTCTTGTCCTCTTTACTTATGGTTTCAACTATTTCTTCCCAGAATTTGTAACTTCTTATACCTCTTTATGATTTCAGTTCTTTCTTGTGAAAAGAAACCTTCAGTAGCAGTTTATGTAAGTCCACA